TAATTCATATCTCACAGCAGGAAATGAGTAAATAATTCTAGTAGGTGCATTAGTGATTTTAGCAAAAGCTAAGCTCACCATATTATTTGGTGCGCTGGCCGGGAAACTCAAATAGGCAAATCTAAACCACTGCACAAAATTGGTGTTTCTGCCTGGTTTTGAACTGAAACCGCCACAATCTCCAAGGCTGGTGACTCAGCAGCTTCCCTGTGTAGGCTGTTACAATGCTGGACAAACCTTTCCATGCAGAAATCTTTCCCAATATCCAATCTAAACCTCCCCGGTGGAAGCTGAGGACATTTTCTCTTGTCCTATCACTTGTTATGTGGCAGAAGAGATCAACACCCATCTAGCAAGGTGGTCCCCTCTAAGCTTCTTCTTCTCCAGGCTAAGCAATTCTGCCTCCCTCAGCTGCTCCCCATAGGATTTATGTTTCAGAACCATCATCAGCTCTGCTGCCTTTCTCTGGAGACTCTCCCGCACCTCAATGCCCTTCCTGAATTGAGGGGCCCAAAATGGAACACAGGATTCAACCTCAGCCAGTGCTGAATACAGAGGGACAATCACTACTCTGGTCCTGGTGGCCACAGTATATGATATAAGCCAAAATACCACTGGCCTTCTTGGCCTCCTGGGCACATGCTGCCTCATGTTTAGCTGGCTGTCAACAAATACCCCTGGGTCCTTTTCCATCAGGTACATTTCCAGCCACTCCTCCCAAGGCTGTAGTGCTGCACGGGGTTATCATGACCCACAAGCAGGACTTGGCACTTTACCTCATTAAACCCTGTACAACTGGCATTGGCCCATCGATCCAGCCTGTAATTTCTGTAAGAATGCCATACTTCTGTTTGATACTTCCAGGTCAACAACAACAGAGTACAAAATCTGGCTGTCCCCACTGTGAATAAACACTGTTCCAAATTTCTGTCATCTACAAGTTCCTCCAACAGATATCCCATGTTTTTTTACTTCTGGATTATAAAAACATTAATGATTCTATTTAATTATTAAGAGCCTAATGCTACTGGATACCTCCCCAATACATGCACTTTCAAAGAATGGCTCCTTGGTTTTGGGTTATCTTCACTACCTACCTACAAATTCAAATCCATTAACAGGGGCTATAGTAACCTGCTTACAGTTGCAGATAAGTTTTTGCAATAACTCGCTGAAACTTTATTCACTAGATCTCTCCTTATTATGTGAGGACATCTTCAGAGTTCTTAGAAACAAGATGTGATTGGGTTATACAAGAAATAGAATTAATTGGTCCATGAATATATCTCCACACACGGTACAGCATGAAACAAAACTATCTGGAATTTTTAAAAAATAAAACCTGAAACTACACTAGGCAAGACCATTTTGAACACATATTCTTACAAGCAATACTTTCCTCAACATAGTAAGGAAAGTAATGACAAGATGGGATTTGAGGAAAGTCAACAATTCTGAAAAAAAATAACAACACATTAATTGCAAAAGTTTAGTGTTGTTTTATGACTGCTGCTGTAATCTGTTTCAGGATATTGCAGATATCTTAATTGCTTACTATATCTAATCAACTCCAGTCCACAAGACTCATTCTCTAAGACATGACTGTCAGAATGTCAGGGCTTAATACTCCTTCATTTATTGGTTTTCCCAACAGTTCTCCCCCTCACAATTATGTTTTAGAAACAAAAGAAAATGCATCATTTGCATTACGTGCAAAAAATGACTATGCAAGAATAGGCAAAGCACATACATCTCAAAGAGGCTGTTCTTCAGAAGTATAAAGCCAAATATCTGAGATGCTTTTCTTACATTATTGATTTCACAATCCTTTTTTGGCAAGAGTCAAAAGGTGATGCCTTAATATCATGTCCAAGCTCCATGTTTTGTTAATTATGTCCTACCTAGCTAAATGCCCCCTGTAGCTTCAATTAGACATGGTATTCTTCCTCACTTCCCGTCTTGATTATTGCGCACTGTTGCTAAGCGCTAGTTAACAGTTGCCACATTTACCCAAAGTTGGCTGCATTTCAGTGGTCATTCAAAGAATTAAATACAAAGCATATGGTACAGAGACATAGCAAAAAAAGCACTTTTAAAAACCATATCCTTAATATAAAAGGTACTACAAAACTGGTCACACTGCTGAAAATAAAATCCTTACAATCCTATGCCCACTCCAGATTTCCTAGAAACACTGAAAATTAGAGAGAAATGCATTCAATTTTTGTTTTTAGCTTTCAGTAAGAGGTTTCCTAGAGTATATTTTTTGACATTATACTGAGTCTATTTTTACACTGAATAAACAGTCCAGCATTCATAGTGTGATGGCTTCAAGGTACAGACATTTTTCCCCTTAAAAAAATAGTTTCATTCTCTATATCCCATAGCAATTAATCAGAGTCTCCTAAATTGGACTCCAAATTTTCTTTACCTTGTATCTGCAAAATACTTTGGACGTGATTTGTTGAACTGCCAAATATCAATGCCATTAGCTATGTGTTTTCAAAGACCTTGAACCAACTGGGTTTTTTTGAATTCTAGACAAACTTTTCACACAGTCAGATCACCCCTCCTTTCATCTGTGATGTCCTCATGTGATCTTAAGAAACTTCACGTAATTTAATTATCCCAGTAAAAACTCAGTAATCAGCTTGCCTATTACTGCTTATTACCTTTAGTATTACATCGTGGACTTAAAAACTGCCTTACCAAAAAATCCTCACTGTTTATGATCGCTACATTATCTACAGCCAAACCCAACCAATAAAAATTCCTGGTATGCACAAATTGTTTCTTACAGCTATTTTTTTTTTTCCTGTTAAACACCTTAGAAAAAAATTGTTTCACACAAACACTGCCAACAGTAAGCAAAAATAGAAACTTAATTTTTTATCTTTATTTACAGATGTTGAATTAAACCTTCAGGGCTGAGAACCAAATAATTTAAACATGCAGGCACATATTTAGCATTATTTGTTCACTTTCCGAAGCATTTTTTTGAGAATACTGGAGAATATACGAGAAAAAGTATGTTTATTGTAAAATCCACCAATGTTAAAAATTACAAATAACTAAATATTTCTCAGCAGCTCTGACAACACTCTCACAATCCCTATTCCTTTGCAAAGAGGTATTTAACAAGCTAATCCTCCAGCTTCGTAAGTGCTTTTGTTGTACTCACAAGCAAATTCTACAGCATAATGTTTAAAATGGTTAAAGATTTTTTTAATCCACTAGCACATATGTAATAAGTTTTTCAATCAACATAAGACCCATCCTTGTTTCTCTTTAGGGTGCAGATCCCTTAATAAAAACCAAACATAGGCCTGCATTACATTATTTAAAAGTGATTAAAGCTTTACTTCAGAAACCACATGTATAACTATAACTGCACCTATTTGCTTCACCTCTCTAACAAGAGTAATAATTGTAAAAATAAATAAAATAAAGTTTCCGTAATTCTTAGTCAGGCAATAAGACACAACACTTTCTTCTCAGCAGCCTTTTTATTTCCATCTTTTAAAAAGCTCTTTGTAACAAGGTATCAATGAAGTATGAAGAATATGAAGTATTATTTCAGTAATACTTAAAGTACCATTCAGTGGAAAAGTCTGAAGAAGCACCAATTCAAAGAAAAGTAAATGGAATAATGTAAAAAACAAAAAAAGGTCCTATCTTCAGCGTATTCAAAGCAAACATACTGACAAGCAGCAGACATGGGAGCATTTTTCCACGGGGTAACTGAAAGAGTCTCCCGCACTTCAAACACATCTAACCATTGATAATTCCTAAATTTCAGAATGTGGATAAATATTTGCAGGCTTGGGGCCTAAACAAACAGCAGCGCTTGGCCCACCCGCTGAGCTGGCCGAAATGGTGTACACAAAGTTTTCGTCTTTCGGAGGTTTCGGGGAGCGCTGGGAGGGAAGGGCCGGACCCGGCGGTACCTAAAGACCCCTGTGTACATCTGTCAGCTGCCGCGGGGAGCCGCCGCCGCCTTCATCCCAGCCGCTTTTTTCCCGTTTTACCTTTACTTCCCAACACCAAAGGAACCGTGTCGGCCAGCTGCCCCCGCGGTGGAAGCTTCACGGACTATCAGCCGGTGACACGGCCCTCGGGACAGCGCGGCCGCCACCGCGCGTCGGGGCCGCAGCGTCTCCCGGGGACACAGCCGTCCCTCCGCCACGGCGACATCCCCTCATCGCCGCGAAGGGGGCCCGGCGCCCTGTCCTCCCCTCCCTCTTCAAACCCGGCCTGCACATGTGCAGAAGTGCCCCCAAACTCCCCCGTCCCGCGGGCCACCCGCAGCCGGCGCTGCCGCCCCGGGCGCAGCCTCCCGCGGGCGCGGAGGGCGAGGCGTCCGAGCCCCCTCTGCCGGCGGCCGCCCGCCTGGCAGCGCGGGGCGGGGGCGCGCACTCGCCGCCCGCCCGCGCCCCGGCTGAGCCACCTGCACCCCCCGCGCCCGCTTCGTCCCGAGGCTTGGCTGCCGCCCGCCCGCCCGGCCACAGCGGCTGCTTTGCTCCCGTAGCCCCACCGGCCAAGGTTCTCCCACCTCCGCCGTGCTCCATCCGCTCGGGTTATTCCTCTCGTCCCGATCCAAGACGCCGGTAACAAAGGGCTGGAGCCCACCGAGGGGAGGGCGTCCGCAGCCCGCGGGTGACACGGGCGCTGCCCGCCGTGCCGCTGGCAGCCCGCAGCCCCCCGCCGCCGCCGCCCCCGGGCTGCGCTCCGCGGGGTGACAACACCGAACACGACTCGGCAAGCGGAGACGCCGCCGCCGCCCGATCCCGCTACCTTTGTGCCCTCCCAGAAACCGGGGAGAAAGCGAAGCAAAGCCCCGCACCGCTCTCTTACCTTGCTGGGCAGAGAGAGAAAAAGTTGAAGCACTCTCCTTCTACACCTCCCTCACTTCTTTGTTTAAATTTAAATATTTGAAATTCTGGGGCTTTGTTTTTTGTTTTTTAATTTCCCCCTCCCTCCCCTCACGCCGAGCACTGCGCTCAGGCAGAGTCCCTGCCGGCGCCCTCGGTGCCACTGTCTCTCCCTCTCTCTCTCCCTCCCTCCGGGTCTCGGTCTCTCTCTCTCGGCGAGAGGAGAGGAGAGGAGGGGAGGGGAGGCGAGGGGAGGAGAATGGGGCGGACCCGCAGGTGCCGCCCCTCCTGCTCTGTCAGCGGGAGGAGAGGGGTCGGGGGCCGGTGGGCGGTGGGAGCGGGCGGTGGCTGCGGGAGTGCCGCGCTCAGGTGCGGAGGTGTCCGGCGGCGGCAAGCCCGGCCATGCCCCAGGGCGGCGGGGCTGGGAGGGGGGTGCCAGCGTTGTGTCAGGGATTGAGGTGATGGAACGGGCGCTACTGTGGCATGAGGCAGATGGAGTGCAGTGAGGCTTGGGACGTAGCGGCTGGGACTCGGTGACGACGGAGCGAACTGGGACGCTTCCAGTCTGTGAGGGAAGGGGCGAAGCCCTGCACTGAGAGGAGTTAAGATAGGAAGTGTCAAAACCCTGTCGGATATCCAGCGTGGCTCGGTGGCCGCTAGGGCAGAAGATGGCACTGGGAGTGCCATCTGCCCTGTGAGAGATGGCCCTGCAGTGCACGCAGGTCAGAGCTGTGGGCAGAGCTGAAATTTGGGTGGGAGGATTACCCCTCCTTTAATTAGCAATGGAGCTGGTCCAGGAGTGCTGAAGTAGAAGCTGAAGGGACTTAGCATGCTAGGAGGTTGCTGGAGGCGAACAGGAGAAGGGCACTCTGACTATATTTGTGTCTGATATTAAATTGAACTGATACTATGTCTGATATTTAATTGTAAAGGATATTGTGTTGTATAGATTGGAAACAGAAGGATCAGGAACATTTAGATCTGTAAACTGCATTCCAGTGGATGGGGAAGAAGCGGGTTTGGATCCTTGGTGTGTATAAAGATGAAGGTCAGACATAGCAGGGAAGGAGACTAGAAATATAGCCAGGTGCTCTGAGGGTAAATACCCACTGAACTGGGGAAAAAATTATTTTGCATTTCCTTCCTTTTGCCTTGAATTGATTAAGCAAGCATACAAACCATCTCCCTTTTTGCTTTTCATAGGACATATTTCTTGAGAGCTTTTAAAAAAGTCTTTCTCATCTCTTGGGACCCATAAGGCTCAATCCTATGCAGTGTTTTATCTTTCTGCCTCAAGATCCGAGAAAAAAAAAGTACAGTGATAAAAATGCAGTAGTGTTGTTCGTTTTGACAGGAACCTGCTGCAGTGTAACATAGACAAAAAGAAGTCCAGTGTTTTGACACATCCTTTTCTTTTGTACTTGTTGGTTAAAACACTAAGTTCCAGCATCATTCCCATCAAAAAGTGGGAGCAAAAAAGTGTCCACACCCCTTGGAGAAAGTAGAGGTAGCATACCAACAGTGTGGCACTGCAAAAATGCTGCATGGTCCAGAAATGAGAACAACTATCAGGAGAATAAATGTAAGGAAGTTCTGGAGCTCATGGCTATAGCCAAGAGTCTGATTAATGCAGAAAAAGGCTAGATTCATATAAAGTTCAAAACCAAGGCACATCCCAAATAAAGCTTTGCAACTGGGTTGTTCACTGGCTACTTTGATTCTGATTTCATGCATATTTTATGTGAATAGCTACATCAGTTGTCTTTGAGAGGACTATTCACATGCTTGAATTGCTTACAGCTGGGTTTCTGCCATGGATTACCTAAAGACATGCTACCTCCATTAGCCTAAACATATTGGTATCTCTGTATTTATAAAGTTGCTAATAACAACAGGTAGCTAAAAATTTAGTTGAATCAGAGTTTAAGATGATTTACCAAATCAGAACAGGCTTTAGGATCAAACTCTGTCACTATGCCAGTTCTAAGTGATACATTTTTATGCTGTGTATGCCAACTCTGCTATTGATACCACACACAAATATAATGGAAATAAGTAACATCACTGTCAGTTCTCTTGAGATAATGTTGCCATGTGGCTCTGAACATATTTAGACAGTAACTATTATTGCTATTAATGGTTTGTGAAAGATTTGAAAGCGTATCAAGGTACCTGTATAATACTATGCTATCGCATACGATAACTCTGATTACTTAATTATATCTAAATTGATCCTAGTGATTGCAGTCTAGATTTTCCTTGAAATTTGTGTTTGGATTTAATTAGAGATATATACTGAATGAGGGAGAATTATTCTGGTAGCTTTAATGCAGTAACTCTTTTCCTATCTGGACTTTGTTTTGCTTTTTTGAAGAGACACTAATTATATGTTTTCTTCTAACTTCTTATTTTGACTATCAACATTTACAGCTTGTAGGGTGGTTTCATCTGTACCATCTGTGGGCCATATTGCACATCAGATGGCAGGATAAAATCTGCAATGAGAACATTTTGGGACATAAAAGTCTTTCAGGGTTTGAAGCCATGATATTCACAACACAAATGTGCAGAGCCACTCATGTATCTGAAACAGAAGACGCAGAATGCCAAAGCAGCTGCTGGAGTGAAATAAAGGAGAGACCACACACTTTGGGGAACATGATGGCATTAAGAACAAAAGGACGTTTGAGGGAGCAAGAAAGCACAACTTCGAGCAGTGAGAAATTGATGTCAATAATTTGGAATTATTGACAGCAGATATACAGTCGCACAGCAATTAGAGACTCACTTTGGGAACCAAGGTCAATTAATACTGAGGTCAAGAGGCAGCATCAAAAAAACCACCCTGTTTAGCAAACAGCATTTCCTGATTGCTGACTAGGCAATACAGAAGAACTTGTCTATAGCAGGTTGAGTTTTGGTCATTTTCATACTCACAAGATACCATCACCTTTATTCTGTTGTAAAGGACTACTGTATAACAACACTCTATGATACTATACTTTGTGCAAAGATTGATGAGCCACTGCGCTGTGGAACTTAACAAGTTGATAGGTATCATTCAGATCTGAGCCTTCATTGTATATTGTTTCACTCTGCATGTATGTGAAAGTCTCTTCACTTTCTTCATATTTGCTGGGTTTGACAGCAGTAGGGATAAGGTCCTTTAATAAGTGCTCTGGAAGTCCATTTCCCTCTTCCAAGCCATAAAGGCAAACTTTCAACAGATTTCAACTTTTTTTCTCAATCCTACAAGCAAAGGTTTTAAGTTCATCTTAGATCATTCTCTGAACTGCAGCTTGTGTTTATTGTTGTCGTGCCTGTTACATTTAAATATTCACTGATAATCTGATGTATCCAACTTCAGGAATTAGGCTTCAAAAAACACAAAGAAATAAACAAATAGTCACCCAAGAGAGAACTCTCTGCTTTAATTTCTGCTTATTTGTGAACTATTGATTTCATACATACTAAACCCACTCTATCCTATTTTAATATCAATGTTTTAGTTGACCCAGCATATGAAACCTTTGGTATTAAATTTTGCCTGAATGAAGTGTCTGAATTCCACAGACCTGGTTTTGTCATTGTTAAAATCCAATTGCAGGCTTTGCTCTGATTTCTTTTTTGGGGTTAAAGTGAATCCCACCATCCTGATGGGTAACTCTGGTTTGAACCTACTAAATAACTTCTGTCCTTCTGTATGAATCACCAGTGATCTTTTAAGGTTCATACTTTACCCCTTTATTATTTTGATGTGAATTATCCTTTCCTTAATTGTAATATCGTAATTAGGATTAGGATTAGGACTGATACTATTTGGAGATTTTAACATTGGGGCATCATCTATGAAATGAGCTATTCCCTCAAAAACATTTATTCTAAATGGGTGAAACAGGTGGATAGCATGAAATAGAAAGCATGAGATGAAGATGGGGAGTGAAAGTACATAAAACTAGATGTCATTAATGCAGACAGTCTGAGGGCAGAGCTAAACTGAATTCAGATCTGATACTCAGACACTGCTGTAATTCCAATTCCAAGTCATCATATCTAGGCTTCCTTATCACTATAATTTCATTGAAATGCTTTTAAAATCCATATTTTGGCATCCATATTTTTAGCGTGAAGATTTAGCACACCTACCAAAAAAAGATTGATAGTGCACAGCAAGATGAAAGAGACAAGAGTGTTTCTTATAACTAGTAAGGATATACTTGCTTTATCTTTCCATTACTCACTCCATACAAATTGAGCAACTTATCATCAGGCTTTTCTGGAAATTCAGCACTAGTACATAGTGACAGGCATATACTTTCTATCCCTTTTTTATTTTAATAGGATTTTAGGTCATTTAGAATGACGACTGTTAATGGGATAATCACTTCACAAAAAGAAAAGGATGGTTGTAGAAAAGTCCTGGAGTTATTCAATTAGATCTTAGTCACACTGACTCTAGAAACTGTAGCGGAGTCTCCATTTTTTAGAAGCTTCTATAAAATATTTGGTATTGCAGATTTACAAATTGGTAATTGTACAGCATCCATCATGAAAGGCATGGCAGGATGCTATTTCCTTTGCTAGGAAGCCTGTCCTTAACAGTAGCCTGGATTCCAGCCAAAGGGAAAATGCGCTGCATGAGAGACAGTGTGTCTCTAAATAATTTTCTAAATAATTTTGTTTCAGATAAAACAGTGGAAAAGGACTACCCCTTTTTGGTACTACCTACCACATGTACTGCAAAAAATATGTTCTCAGTTAGGGAAAATTCTGTAAATGAGCGCTTGTCAAAACTGACTGTCTACATAGTTTTTATGTTTTCTTCTTTTTTTACACAAATTTTGATGTCATATTTCACTTCCAGAATTCACTGATCTTTCAGTGAATCATTTTTTTTAGCTGTTGATCAAGGAATCATTTTTATTACCTAATCTGTGTATTACTTTAGAATGTAGCTGAGTAAACTGGATCACATAGTGTGAATTCAGGTTTTTGGATTTATCCTGGTTTTTATACACCATGTGATTAGCACAATCCATTTTGACCTCTTTCAGGGAGAAGATACAGATTTTTTACTATACAACAAAATGTTATCAATACTACCATCAATTTTAAAAGGGAAATTAAAAGCATGGTGACTGCTTGAAATTATTCAAGAAGTGTTTTCTGATTGTAGTTGCATTTGTTCATTTTAACTACATTATAAAGAATTTCCATGTATCTTTGAATGCATGGTTAGTATACTCATGAGGCCCATAGATCAAACACTCGTTTTTCCCCCAGGGATATCTAGATATAGATTAGTCTTTTCTTCATCAGGAAATACTAATTTAAAAAAAAATAATTTTGCCAAGGCTACTTAGCTAATTGTATGTAATAAAAAGTAATACTGCCTATTGTCTAAATGTTTTCAAAGTGCAAGACCATATGAAAAGCAATCTCAACAAAATGGAAAAGGTATGCATAATACTGACTATTCTATAAAATACTCCAGTCTGCTCTGGATTTTTCACAATGGGTGGCTCTTTCAGAGGCTCTACTGAAACTTAGATCCATTACTCCTAATTGACACATCTCCATTGCCAAACACATCTAATCAAATCAAATTATTTTATAGCCTAGAGTGAAATAATCCTTTTAAACAGGGCTTACTTACAGAGGAGGCAGTCTTGCCTAACTTCTAGAAG